ATTGAATTTGAATGCCACATGAAGTGTGCAATAAGTGACCATCAAATGCCAACTTGTTAATGTTGTGGCTAAAATAATAACAAAAAAAAAACATTACTAATCAATGAAAAATAAATAAATAAAGGATATTGAATATGTATGAATATTAGCATTTTTAGTTCCTCAAATATCGACAAATTCTATTTTTGGTTCTTGTGATTTCTGATTCAACAAATTAAACCATGTTGTTTGAATTTTTCAAAAATTTCGATGTACATGTGTCAAATCCTCAAAAGATGTAGTACTACTTTTAGAGGATTTTGATATTCACCATCGTCATTCTTGGAAAGATTCGAACAACATAACATCTAGCATTCTCTTAGTTGACAAGATTAGGTGCATTTTTTATCCCTCAAACTCATGACTAATTTAACAAATTATTAAATTCTAAATCATTCAATTAGTGATGTTTTATAATTCTAAAATACTCTAAATTTCACAAAGAGATCAAAACATACATTTGATCAGTTGATTGAAGATTAACTAAGCGTGTTTAATAAAATATCAAAACTAAAATTTATCGATAACTGAGAAACAAAAAGTGCAATTATCCCATTTTAAATAACATAACTAACTTTTTAGGTATGCCAACTAATACTTGTTTTATATTTGCATGTTATAATCTTATTGAAAATTTGGTGAGTATACTATCATAAGATTATACATATTATTTTATTGATAAATTTTTTTTCTACCAAATGCTTTAAGTGCAAGTGAGAGGAAAATGAAATATCACCAAAGGGGAAAACCAAGATTAATCATCAAGGCTTTGTTGCCAATAATAAATTAGTAAGTTCTAAATCAATCAATTATCGACGTATTATGTTAAATTGACGTTGTTAATTCATATTTGAAGATGATATAATTTTAAAAATATTTCAAAATGTCATATATTTTCTTTATGAAGAGATCAAATACACATATTTCAATTGATTAAAGATTAAATATATGCGTTTAGCTAAATATTATAAGGACTAAAACTAAAATTCATCAATTATCCCATTTTAGAGATTTCAACTAACTTCTTAGGTATGCAACAACTAAGATATGTTTTATATTTGAATGTTATTTTATTGAAAGTTTGGTGAGTACTATGATAAAATTACATATTTTTTTAATTAAATAAATATTACAATAAAACAACAATAAAATATTTGGTTAATGAGACAATGTGGAGTCGGATGAAATAAAGTGTATGCATATCTTATTTTTATTTTAAAGAGGTAGACAAATTGCTTTCGTTATAGTACCCTCGACACAAGTAAAGTATTTTCATAGCAATTTTGAAAAGGAAAATATATACGATAGTAAAAATGACATGATAACCAAACATTTAACAACATCTAAATAGTGCAGTAATCTAAACACAAAAAAAAAAAAAAACACATAATAACTAGATATCAAAAAACCAAAAGCTATATAGGGATAACTGATAATGTTAATACTACTGGTATGAAAGGAGAAATCGAAACGATAAATAGAGTGCATTATTAAATAAAAATGAAAATGAAATATTACCAAAAGGAAAACCAAGATTACTCATCAAGGCTTTATTGCAAATAACAATGGAAACTGATGATGCCACTGATAAAAACAATGCTCCCACCACACCCAACTGAAAACTTGTCATTTCTCCCATCTTCATCAACCATAAAAAAAAAAAATTAGAAAGAAAAAAATTGGACAATTTATAATTTATCATACTCTAAAAAAAACTATATAATATAATCTAGTAACAAATCACCATCGAGGGTTATGGTGGGATGTAGGAGATTTCTCTGTTCTAATTAGTCAGAGCTCTCGAGTTCTAGCTAGTCGCTTGTAGAAATGAAAAAATCTATGTTAGGAGTGTTTCCTTTATAAATGAGTCATACAGACGTGAATTCTGAATTAATCAAGTGAAAACTCCATAAATGAGTCAAACAGACGTGAATCTGAATTAATCAAGTGGTTTTCAGATAATTTATGACCGATATTTCTAGGTCTTAATTAGGTTTATACTAATTATAAAGGTGAATGAACCTAAATGATCTAATGGAATCAAAATAAAAACAAGAAGATGAACTTGTGAAACTTATATAAGCTAATAACTTAATGTCTGCAAAAAAAATTAAAAAAACTTTTGTTTATCTAAGCACACAATGACAAACTACTTAAAGAATTAGAAATTTTCGATGAAATTCATCAGAAATTGGCTCGTTGAAAATATTTTCAATGGACTTTTCGTCTGAAATTCAATATTTTTTAATGACTTTATAAATTTTCAATTTCTGTCATACCAATAGAAAGACAAAAACAACAACATGAAATTGAAAAAAAAATGTAATTAATTACCTCTTCAAAATTGTGAATTTGTGATGATGTTTGATTATACAACAAAAAATTGAAGAAATAGAATGAGATCTTTTTTTCTTTTGTTGGGTGTGGAATTGAATGAAAATATATTGGTGCTATATATATATTCGTTAATTTTAGTTGTGTGTTTGGTTTTCAAAGGCCTAACGGTTTTTATAAGCAAAGCAATTATTATTTGACTAACTTTAGGTTAACAAATCAATATTTTAATACTAATCTACTATGTTTTAAGGGATCTTAATATTTTTAATCAGAAAAATAATTTTTTTGTATATACGTAATCGTAATAGTTTGTAAAAGAAATAAAAAGATTAGAGTTATTTTATGTTAGTGAACTTTGTTGGGGTTGTTGCGTAGTGTAAAAATCTCATTTTTTTAAATAATAATGATTTTCAAGTCAGTTTATATGTATTTTGAGATTAATTTGCATGAATAGCAACTTTTGTGGTACGTTATTTAGAAAATGACTGTTTTTCAAAATTAGAACAGTCGTCACCTAGTATGAAGTTAACAATATAAAGTTAATACTCATATTTCAGATCATGTGTCTAATTTTTGAAAAAAACGTTCAATATAACGTACAAAAAATAATATATTACCTGGTATAAATATGTCTATACTTTGATTATTTTATCAGATATTTGCTCCCACCATGGACAAAATATTTCTGTCCATCAAAGTTTAGACATATATTAATTCAACAAAAATCCCTTTCAAATTAATCCTAAGATACTGGACTAACCATTCACACAATAAAACAATATTTAATATATATATATATATATATATATATATATATATATATTATGAATAAAGGTTATGCATGTATTAATTAGTACTTTTTTTTCTTTTCCCATTTTTAATCTTTTACAACTAATACATGTATTAGCCTTTACTTAACCTCTAAATAGATCTCCTAACAAGAAACTTTATACAATTAACATGTCAATGACATGGTTTTATTTTTATTACATTAACCTAACAATAAATTAATTAAATATGAAGTTTAATTGGTCCAAAATTAAATAACCCTTAATTATTTTTTCCTTTTTATAATTACACTGAGAGAGTGAGTGATATTTTATTTTTAAAAAATTGTTGGCTCACCTAATTAGGAAATAAATAAATAAGTCTGAATTTAGAAGCCAGAAAGGTGAAATGAACATTTCAATAATATGTGACAACGTACCTGCCAACACAATGTGTTTGGTGAGAATAATAAGACTTTAATTTTACTCCAAATATGACAAATATCCAACCATGGGCGGGTCGGATATTTTATCTGTTTTTGTTTAACTCGTTTTCGATTTACTTATATTCAATCTGACTTGCCCGTTTATTACTCCTATCTAAAACTAAAGCTCATTAGCAAAAAAAGAAAAAAAATATTCTTTTTACGTGTCTTTTTGAGCCAAAGGTCTGTCGGAAATAACCTTTGTATGAGTTAGGCTGCATACATACCACCCTTCCGACTTACCAAACCCTACCTATAGAATTACATTTGACTTGTTGTTATTGTTGTTACTCCACTAATTAAATTTGGAAAAATGCTACATGATAATAATAAAACAAGAAAAGTTATACCTACACGTTTATACATTATATATTGATTATACACTTATTAGTTATTATACACATATTTATATATTGAGTATATATCCACGATAACTACATATGGTTACGAAAGGTGTGTGAATTATTATTTTTATTCCGTCCAACTAAAAATATTAAGTAAGATCTTAATATAAAAGAAGTACAACTTGTATACTCTGTTGATGTGATTGATTTACGTCCATAATTATTGTCTTAATAATTTTAATCATGCTTTCTAACTTCTAGAATTAGTATATTAAGCTGTCAATTTCTTTAATTAAAGAATATTTATTACTTAACCATTTCTTTAATTTTTCATAGTTTAGACTAATATAACTAAAATATTTTTTGTTCGAGGTCCAACATAATGCAAAGATTAGTGTATGATTTGGCCATGTGTTAGGTAGACATCCGTGAATTAGCTTCTGAGGTTAAGTAGACTCAATTTAACTATAGAATATTTATGAGAATTTGTGAAGAACTCCGTTTTATCTCTCCCTCATTACGATATGTCAATGATAGTGGTGAAACCAGGAAATTAGAACATATTTTGAAATGTTACACATGGAAATTACCTCCTTTTATCATAAAACTAGAAGCATTTCTTACGTTAATGGGAATCATAGTCTAAAAATAAATGACTTTTTTTAATGACCGTAGTTTCCGGACCAACTTTCGCGCACTCGACTAATTTCGCAAAATACCTGACACCTCCCACCATCAACATGTGCTAATTAAAAATAAACAATTTTTTAAACCCTTTATGTGTTAATTATTTCTCAACGAAGGGGATTCAGTTAAACTCTAGACACTTGTACATGGAATTGACGGCGATGGATTGAAGGAGAAGCTAGAATTCAAAAGGGCCAATGAAATGGCCACAAAAGCCTTGTATTTAAGTGGAAAAGGATAAAGAAACGTGCTCATTATCCATCGAGTTTCAAACCGTCTACTACTGGCCCTCAGAGATTTCTCGATTATTCCAAAAACAAGAATTAAATGCAGAAAAAACATTGACTATAAACCTTGTGTATCATCTATATGCACCAGAAAACTTCCAATATCTAATGGTTTTAGCATTCACTAGCTACATAGAATTTCACTACACTAATATTGAAATGAAAAGATCATAAAAAGAACAGATACTCAGAAAAAAGAATAGGCAACACCACCTAGAAACCGAAAAAAAAAGGAGAGAAAATAAGCGAAAGAAGCAATGTACAAGACGTTTTGGAGAGTGTTATACTCGAGTTTTTCCATGCTGGGCAAAATACGCTTTATCTGCATTCGATAAACGATCTTGGAACATTGCCCATTCGTTTCTACATCTCTCTCTTACCTAGAAAGAGAAAGCAATTCACTAACTGGAGGCAAATGAATATCATATTTAAAATAAAATTGGAGTGAAGGAATCGATATGCTTACCCCTTCCCACGGAGCTTTGCCATTCTCAGGCTGACCCTGTGATCCAAGAAGACGAGAACAGTGTAAAAAATGAAGCAGGTACAGCAAATACAAATGAGTATATGCCAGTCACGTTACCAAAGAAACGAGAACTACGTGTAATCATAACAAAGAAATAGCAAATATAAGTATACAACTCAAGAAATAACCTAGCGGGAGCTTCAAGCTCTAGTTACATATAGGATTAAACTCGTACCAAAAGCAGCATTCTTTCTCTCAGTTAGCCCCTAAGTCATCTTCCGCCAGAAAGACAAGAAGCAATATTTATCAAATTTAAAGCAGAAGTGACGATGATATATCTTTTAGCCTATGTATAGGACTAACAAGTAGTAAGGGATCAAAATGAAATGGTTTTCAAATTTTACTTGTCAAAGGAAAAAAGAAGTGGGATAAGGTTTTTGGCTTTATTCGTTTGAATTCGACTGCTATTATTGCTAATGAACACTGGACTTCAATCTGCATTATCTCAAGGACTCAGAAAGGTGAATGCTTAGGATGGTTATTCCTATTAGAGGGGGCGGCAAGTGATTGAAGCCTCGGTAATCAGAGAAGGGAACTGGTCAGAAAGATAAATGCAGTCATACAGATATCATCCTTTCAAAGAGCTAGAGAAAATTTGAATTCACAAAACTTTAGTTCATAATCAACTTGGACAGGATGATACTAGTTGCTTAAATTACGGAAATGTAATTGACAAACTATTAATCTGTATTCTAGTAACTGCCATAGGTTCCTTGAAGTTTCAATTGACTAACCTGATTCCCAAGAGAAGGAATAACTTGATGCACAATCCACTGTGAATCTACCACACCAATTTTTTCATGAGCAGGCTGCGCCAAAGCAAGAGATTAACATTAAGATTATATCAAAGAGTCCACCATACTTTAGATCAGTAAAAGACTCATAAAAGAGTGAAGAAGACTATTAATTTCCATGTCTCCGGTGTTATCAATGTTCTCCAGGTTCAGCTCTCCCTCTTTTACAATTTTACCATGGGAGGAGAACTACTAACCTCTACACATCTTCTTAGTGCAAAATCCAATCCCCATCCATGCACCAAATCATTCTATAACCAAAAATCAAGTCAAAGTACAAGCATCAGTGTAACGTTATAGAAATGGACACTGTTGAGGAGATGGAAGTGATACCAAGTGTAGGAACTACCTGAATCAAATGCCAAACACATCGCCAAGCTTCTCGAGAGAATACAGGAGCCATTATTTCCACAAAACTGTATATAAAAAGATAGACCAAGATATTAACTATAAGTTGCACGATAATAATAAAAGGCATTGGAATATTCTGTTGCTGATGAGTCTTGTTTAATCAATTTTCAAAAAGGAAAAATTCTACATGCAACTCGATTAGATCATATTGTATATCTCAGTGCTACACAGCAGAATTAGGTTGTCTAGTCATACTCAGGAAAAAATCTTATCTAAATTTCAATCTAACATCTTGTGAAACACATAAAAAAAGATACAGCCAATGGCATGCTGTTCTACTCGTAAAGTGAAAATTTCTTTCTAGAATAACATAAAAAGAGTAAAAATGACTTATGCAGTCTTAAGACTAAAGAAGAGCTAGTCCAATAATAACCAAACAATATAAAATCTTGGACCCTGCCCCTCCATCCCCACAACAAAAAGAGGAATGACAAAATGATAGGACTAGAGCATAAAATCCAGATGCAACTTAAAATACTAGCGGATTAAATACCCAACACAAGACTAGACACGTCAGTCAGCATTTTTTTTAAAAAGAGGGATACATCAGTCTGCTATTAGATCTACTCTTGCTTGATGAAGCACAAAGTTGCATATCATTGCCTGTCAGGATAACATATCTTAACCATGTGAAAAATGCTCAATAGTGCTTCATTACTACCTTAGCTGGAGGAAATATAGCTTGATGGAAGTGCATAGCCTTACCAAAGCTGAGGTTGGGGGTTCAAGACCGTCTTTTTGCTCTTGGCTTCATGTAAAAGGTCAAATAATTCATTGTGATTTAGGCAAGTAAATAGTTAAGCTCACTCTAGTTGAAGATGCACTAAACAAGTTCCACTTTAATGATGTTGCTAAGACTAGCTGGACCGGAGAGAAGCTAAGAAATACGTGCTTAGTAATACTAATGATGGAAGTGAAACTCACTAAAGCACATGTTTAGTCTTAAAGTTACATACCATCTCAAAAGAAAGATAATATAGGTATATTACTTGAGTTCTGATTTAGATCAATATTGCTGAACATTAATCTATTTTAGTATGTGCATATTTTCAGAAAAGAGCAAAACCAAGCTAATAATGTTATGAGCACACAATTGAGGGGTAGACAGGCCAAATTGTACCCAGCGGTTTGCATACATTAGATAGAGATAGATAGAGAGAGAGGGAGGGAGGGAGTACGCTGCACAAGGAGGCAAATGTGGATCACTGCACCAGCCTGGTTTCTCTTCTGTATCCCTGTTTACCACCAACACATGTTAACTTTCAGAGTGGTTCCATCCAAATTAGGGACGAATATTATCAAAGATGAAGAGAAGCTCTCCCGTGTGTGTATGTTTATTTTTTGGTGGGGGCTTAAACACAAATACACAATGAACATACTTGTGAACTTCTCTGTCACCCCTCCTCTTAGTCATCTGCCATGTGAGTCCATTGTTGGGTTCAAGACCAGGCTGAGAGATGTCTAGACCATGTTTCTTAACTAGTTGCATATATCTGCCATATTCAGGTGACGATATTCATATGGAAGAAGATTATAAAAACACCAAATACTTTTTTTTCTGATTGAAAAGAATGAGAAATCATGTGACAGAACAACAGAAAGACACCTACTTCTCTGCATTGAAGTGCTCAACTCCAAGATCTTCATCCCATATAAATATGTAATCATAGGCAGCTACAACATCTGGATGGAGAAACCTCTTTGCATACCACCTGTCATAGAAAGTAATAACAAATTATGGATACAAAGGGATTGGATTTAACTTGTATACACTAACAAAATTAAAAACTTCTACACTGTCAATATATTTTAACCTGTTCTAACATGTAGCCTGTCTTACTTTTCAGGTTATGAAGACCACTTTTTATGCACAATTACATGTATTTATTTTTTGTGGCCTGATAGTGAAAATGGTTTCACACTATCAGTGTATATAAAGAATCAAGAGGATTAATTATCGTATGCAAACAACAACATTCTTGTCATTTTACATGTTCCTATACATGGAGCCAAACACGCTAATAAAAAGGGACTTCCTGAATTAGTAAGAGTTCACTATCGCACATTATTCTTGAAATCTTGAATAAAAAACAGAAGAGTTGGAATACAAAAATAACTAAACTCAAAGTCTTACCATTTTGTCTGCTTCTTAACACTGATGTGAACTGCACGCTTGGACCATTCAAATTGATCCCACTCGGTTGTTCGACCATCATAATGGAAAAGCAAAATTTGGAAATCCTCTGAAAACTAATCCATGTATATATAAAATATAAGACTCAGTATATGGAATACAACGTCAACTGTCAAGAGAAAAGAGAAATAAACACTAAGCTCCATAATATCAATATAATATTTATTCGGTAGAATTGCTTCATTGCTGTCACCTTTTTAACCGCTGCGTCAATGTTGTACTTCTGATCCAAACCAACCGTAAATGTAACCAAGTACTTGGGCTTTTTTGTCAGATCCTGAAAATACCACAATTTTTCAACAAAACCATAGCCAGAAGAAGCACCAACTAAAAAAAGACAATTTTCAATATTGAACACAGTCCCTTCTCACCCTACGTTCTAGTCCAATCCGATAATGATTGGCCAGAAACTGACAGAAGTTCTACTAATGTACGTCAAAAAGTTGACACTAAGACACCTCAGGTCAGAACAGGCCATAGTACATAAAGTTGAACGCCAGTTCTAAAATGCATGTATACTCCTCATGTTCAGTATCCAACTGCTCGTTTTTTAAGGAGCACAAATAAGCTAAGTTGCGCGGACTCTTCACTTTCGATGCCGCACCCGTGTCGGATTCTCCAACAATACATCAGTTTTGGCGAATCCGACACGCACCCTTGACATTTTTGAAGAGTCCGAGCAACATAGCAAATAAGAAACCAAAACTGACTAAAAAGCACCATTGCAAACATTAAAGCATCTAACATAAAGTTTGTGCCATGAAGGGCAATGATATGATTACTAGAACAGCTCATGAAGAGCAAGACAGTTGCAGATTCTTTCTCTTAAGCAGACACAGTAAAAGGTTTCATAATCTATTCAACTACCACACATTCTTTTCTTTTTTGTTAAATCAGGTTAAACAATATGATATTTGATCCATACCTCACTTGGTTCACCCCACAACCTTCGCAAATAAAAATCTGATTCTGAGACCACAATCCCTGGTGGCAATGACTCCGCGCCGCGAGGATTTGATGGGACATATATCTGCAAAAAGGAAAGCAACCCATCAATATTTCAGAACACATGTCTAGGTGCTCCAGATCCCAAATCAACCATGGCAGTTAGAATAAATATCCTACGCCATCTCCCAATGCAAAATAATCATGTACTAAGCATTTATGTCTCCAAACTTCTCATTATTCTACAGGAAATTAGTAAAGCTTGTCACAAACACAGAAAAGTTTGGCGGCTTCAGATATGAACCACACATACTACCATAACAATGCACCATTGACCCAGTAATACTCAATGTTTCTAGCTAATTTTATGCTACTACTCCCTCAATCCAAATTTCCATGACATAATTAAGTTTTGGAAACTAGGCTGACATTTGATAAGACAAAATGTTTCCCAATAAAAAGCAATTTCCTTTGAGAATGTTTTACAAAAGAAACCACCTTAATTCTATATGTTATAATGGTAGATATGACTGTAGGTGGGGGAGAGATTACTGGTATTTAGTTCTATTCAGTTCTGGCTCAGACTAGACCAAGTCTCATAAACCCAAACAGTTCTTTGCTCAACTTCGTGTGGACCAAGAAAATGTGTATTCCATCTTTGAATATTCAAAATGATACTTAGCAAATAACAGGACTGGAATGAAAAGAACAGAACAACACACTAAATTGTCTTTATATGAGAGATTTTTTTTTTTTTGAGATTGTATATGAGAGATATATTACAAATACAGGAAATTATATGCAACAGGGACAAAGGGCCTTCAGTTTCATAGTAACTGTTTCTCCAACATAATGCTACCAGTACACTAAAAAATAATGAAATTGGCCAGGGCATTTGTCTTATACCTTTTATTGGTTTCGGTAGCTAAAACAACTGTATATGCCACAACACAACTCAGAAATAGCTAAAATTACCCCCATCCTCACCCTCCAACCACAAAATGGAGTTAAATGTTATTTCCTCCCACATGGAGTCCCTAAAGCTATTTCACCATACAAAATATAGTCATTATAACTTGTAATGATATTCCATCAATCAACAATGAAATAAATACCTTTGGTGTTAAAGGAGTACTACCAGAACCAAGATTCTCCGGGAAAGTACGCTCTATAGCACGTCTATGATCATCATTGAAGGCATAATCGAGAGTTGATATTAGGCTTGAAGGTAAATTAATCTGCAAATGACCCGAAGATTGTAATGAACGAAAAAAATGAATTGGTTTATACCACAAGAACCATGCAGGCATTGCACTAACATACCTTAGTTAGAGAAACAGATGGAAAAGAAATCCCAACAAAGTATCCAAACACCATTCCCATGATAGTGGTTATAACAAGTCTAGTACTATCATTTGATCTTTTGAAAGCCCCACTGCATCAATAGGAATAACAGAAAGAAGGTGATTTAAGCTAAATGTGTCAACGATAAGCTCAACTTGAAATTCATTAGAGAGACATGCAAATATTGCCTACAAACCTGCGGTAAGGGGTTCCCATTTTCACAAAAGTTGCTCAACTCAAAGGACACACACTAGGCAGAAACCAATTCCTTGAGCATCCTCCAGTTTCAGAGAGCAAATTGACATGCCTGAAAGTTTAAATCCTATTAGTCATGGGACAATAAGTCACACATCACAATCACTCAAAAGAAAAAAGTCACACCCAACACCTAAATGATGTCACCTAATCTTTTAACCTGACATTGTGATCAATCGCTAGTAATGTCTTGGCAAAAAGTTCTATTAAAAAAATGTGGAATCTAATAGCACATATGATCCATAACTATACAGCACACTGGGGAAAAAAAATTTGGACAACCATTCTCCCAAAAACTCAATCTCCCAATTCAATTTACTAACTAAAGACTCCAAACAAAACCAGCTAACGATCCTTATACTCTGGCTGGATAAAAGTTTTACAATAAAGACATATTTCCTTTCATAAGCAAGTCATGTTTCTGCTGAAACTTCAACAACATGAAAACAAAAACCTTTATGTATGTAACTTTAAAGTTACAATTTTTACACAACAACAACAACATACCCAGTGTAATCACACAAATGGGGTCTGGAAGGACCCTCCCATGTGTACACAACCTTACCCCTAACTCGTGAAGGTACAAAGACTATTTCCGATAGACCCTCAGCTCAAGTAAAACACATAAAAAAAAAACAAGTGTGTAAAACAAATACAAAGTTACCATTTTTACAATTTCCTTAAAAATGGGGTTCACAAATCTTGCTTACTGATCTCAACCATAAACCTCCAACATCAAAATTACAAATATGTATATTTTTTTAAAAAAAAAACCTTTACTCTCCTATAAATATTAAAACAAAATGAATCAAATTAAGACTAAACTATCAATAATACTGCTGACATTCAATGTGAAAACTGAAAAATCCATTCTTGACATAGAAAAAAACTCTCAAAAAATGTAAATAAAATTCTTAATTAAACCCTTTTCGTTACCAAAAACACCCTAATCTCCATTTCTACGATCAGCCATTTGATTATTTTTTTTTAAATCTTCAAATTTAACTGTTAAAACCCAATAAAATCAAATAAATGGGCATTAAAAATATCGTAAATGAGAAAAATAAAACTAGGGTTTGAGAGATTTACAGGTTCTGCCGATGGGTTTTCACGAAGAAGAAAGATAGATCTTCCTAAGAGATCGGGTTCAAGGTTTTCGATTTATTGGGGAAGAAATGTTACAAATTTTTGAAAATAAAATAAAATATGTGTTTTGCTTTGAAATTATGAAACAGAAAAAAAATATGAAAATTTGTCTTTTTTCTAATTTACTATATTATCCTTTGTGAATTATTCTCTCCGTCTCAAAATAAATTTTATTTTAACTCATTTCACGTCGTTTCAAAATATAAATGTCTCCTTTCGTTTCATTTCATATTATTCCACTCATTTTGAGTTGATATAACTTTTAAGAAAACTTTTACTATTAGAGATGTATTTTTATTAATTTAAAAACTTATTAATAATAGTATTTTATGAGGTTATTTAGTACTAATGGTAAAAGAAAAAAAATATAATAAAATTTTCTTGATTTTTTAAATTATCAAGTAAATTGAAATATTTGTTTTTGATAGATAGAGTCATCTATGAAACGAAGAGAGTAAATATAAGGTATAATTTATTAAGTTACCTCTATTTATTTGATATATCTCGAAAATCAAGCACTATAAGAAAAAGTGATCTTCAATATATATAGAGAGAGACTTTTTCTTTGGATAGTTTAATAAAATTTACTACTGAAATATTAATGCAATATTATAGTGCTTAATTGATAAACATGGGAGAAACTATCAAAATCTTGATTTTGTCAAATTAATAATGTTGAATAAGATATGGATGTATTCAACTTTGCATGACAATATTTATATATTTCCCCCCTTTTATAATAAAATGTATACATGAGATTAGACATCGAGCTAAAAATATTTTACTCTTTTATCTTTTTATGTTGAGCCTGCTATTATATTTCGCGAGTGTTTTATGTGTTATTTTTTATAAGTTTTTTTTAATTATGTTGGTCGAAGTCTTTAAAAATGTCATGAATACGTATCGAATTCTCTAGATATAGTGTATTTTTTAAAGATCCGACACAGATACGACCCAGTAAGATAATGATCTCATTATTTATGAACATGAGATGACATTATTATATTTGCCAACATGCTTCTTTCATGTTCTATCTTCCATAACAGATGCATTTAATTAACTTATGTTAGGTAAACCATCTATATTTTTTGAAAGCAAAAGCACAATTTCTGGATTATTTTGAATATAATAAAATAAAATTGTCATATGAGTTCTGCCCCACTCTGCTTAACATTGTACTTTTTTTTTGAGACTTTAACTGCCAAGTTTCCATGTTGGTGTTAGTTGGTAGGACTCTTTCACTCACTAGATTCGGATGTTAGTTTAACTTTTATGCATTGACAATGTATGTTGTATTTCAATTGTCTTTCGTTGATTAAAAAGAAAAAAATAATGAGTTTATGTACCGAAAAAAGAATACTCATTATTTGGTTTTGGACTCTCAAGCATGTTTAGTTTATAACACTTGATAACAGAGCAGATCGATCAATATTTGAGGCCGTGATTCAGAGCGTTGGTTAGGTGTTAAAAGACAAATATCAATAGATTTATGGGCCGATTGGGCTCTCTCACCTAATAGTATTTTGGGTTGGACTCACCTATTTAGTCTGTAGGCCCGACCCAACCCAATCCAACCCAACCCGACCCGACCCGAGATGTTGTTTTAGTTACAAGGACATGTTGATTGAAACATGAGATTTTGTTGCAATGACATGATAATCTCAAACTGTATGATTTGAAGTCTAAAAAAATTTGTAAGAAGATGAAAACTATTAATGATCAAACTTCAAAAGGCAATGTTAAAAATTTGTGAGTGAATTTTTTGTTTGATTGATAACAAAGAGGATACAGAAAGCCACTTTTGGCTGCAACAAAATAATGTAACATGGAAAATAAAAAGAATTGTAATTTGTAATCAGAATCTTGCACAATGTGATGGTAAACCTGTATCGTGGTGAACGGATACTATCTCCGTTGGACTGCATTGTAGTACGTCTGTTCCGAGTTTTGCTCCTGCTGTCTTTAAGCCTTTTAATGAAACAGGTTGATTGAATAGATTCAACGAAGGTAACTTCGAAGCTTGAGGCATTTTCCCATTAGGTAAGTGGTTCTTGAAGTCTTCTTTGATCAATGGCACCTCAAAATCTGCCTTGTTATGTTTAACTACGGATACTATCTCCGTTGGACTGCATTGTAGTACGTCTGTTCCGAGTTTTGCTCCTGCTGTCTTTAAGCCTTTTAATGAAACAGGTTGATTGAATAGATTCAACGAAGGTAACTTCGAAGCTTGAGGCATTTTCCCCATTAGGTAAGTGGTTCTTGAAGTCTTCTTTGATCAATGGCACCTCAAAATCTGCCTTGTTTATGTTTTAACTACATTGTTCTTAGCTGCTATGTGAGCTCCTGGTTCCATATGGTTTGTTGAAAAGCTCATTTGATTTGGAAAGTTCGGATAAAGGCTAACGTATCCTCTTAAGTACATCATGTCTATCAAGAACTTCTTCCAAGAAGCTTGCCATCCATTAGTTCTTGATTTTGGTATCTGTACTGGATTTTGCTTTGGATCTTCCGTGAATCTCATGTTCATGTAGACGTAGAATTCCTTCCATTGCTTGGGGAAAAACACCGCGCCCCAACTGCAAGGCAGCTGATGGAGGTATGGTGTGTTTGGATGAATGTGTTTGAAGAAGTCAGTTGCATTCCATTTAGGCCTTTCTTTAACAACTTCCACCAAACGTGGCGTGTAAAGAGAGATGGAGGAGAGCTCAGGGAGTGATATTTGAGGGTCATAGTGGTAGGCCAACAGAGCATATTTGATCCATAGGTAATAGTATGGGGAGACTTCGATGTCATCTTCGAGTAACAGACCAAAATCATCATCCGATGAGGGGTACCAACTCTCACTAACAGCTCGAATTAGGCCTCCTTGGATGATCCTTCTTCGAAGAGTTTTGGTTCCGTGAGGCCAATTGAATGAGTTAACAAGCTTTATAGTTGCCTCATCTACCTTACTATCCATGTTGAAAGTTATAGGAACTTGATCACCTATGTAGTACGCGTCACTGAGCGCCTTGAGAAGCCTTGCTAGTGAATTAACTCTGTTCTGTGTGATGATGTTTATAGAAAGCGTCATACGGTTCCAATCTGCAGCAAGTACAAATTGCATTGTTCAGACTATAGATACAATATAACAACAGCCACATACCCAGTCTACCTTAGAGGTGACGGAAGTACTAGAAACAACAGATAATAACAGATCATATGTTAAATCGAGGTACAAGGGAAATGTAAGGTGTAAGGTTCATCGATATCTTACTTGGCAATGCTGTGGAACGAAGATCAGCCATCCAAAGAACCTTAGTGACAGATGATCTAGGTAGAAGAACCAATTTTGAACTGTTTGTGTTAGTTTCTACAGCCATCTTGAGTGCTTTCATCACATTAGAATCTGCATCAGCTACTGTGATCACAAGGCTCGGGTTGTGAATCTTGATTAGTCCTTTCATGCTGGCATAGACTGCTTGAACGACGGGGACTTCTGAATTTGATATCCCAGATAGAGCCCCAACTCCTAAATCCATAATCTTGAACCTCCTTTCTGTGCATACTATTTTAGGCCATTTCAAAGCTGCAGCAGCATCTTCACAAGGGCAGAAACTGCCTCCTGAGACAACAATGTAGGCCTTTTTTCCAACTGTTGACCTGAACTTTTCAAGAAGAGGCGCGAGAGCTTTAACTTCATCGACAGAATGGGCGTAGAAAAGTACATCAATCTTCTGAGGATTCATCGCTGCCCATTGCGTTATGTAACCAGTAGAGAGTGCTTTCCACCACTGATCATCTCGGACTTGAACCGTGTCCTTGAATATAACAGTGGTTTCGGATACATAAGCAAGTCTGTGCTCACTGTCACCCCATGTTTCTTTGTCATTTGGATCAACTGGTAGCACAAATGAACCAGCATTTCTGTACTTCTGAAGCTGATAGCTGCATTTTTTTCGCACGAAAGTAAAATTCTTAGAAACTTCAAACATGTAACTGCAAGGCGTAATACATAAACAGACACTCAAACTTGGCCTCAACTGACAAGTAAACATTCCAACTGTGATTACGCATATCTAGACACCTCAACTCGTCTTCACTGTGTCAGTTGAACACTCCAATTTACCAAAATTTATGTGTCACGTCAGCATGGGGTATCCATGAGACACAATGAGGACGAGTAGGAGTGTTATAAATTATGTCACTCTGATCATACTATATCTATCTACAAGCAAATTGTATTGTACTTTTGTATCATGAAGTAGAACTAATAAAAGAACTAACACAGATAGATCATTTCTAACATAATTGAAGTAGAAAGCATTACCTTAAGTGCAAGTCTTCTCCTGTCATGAAAGTGAAGGGCGTCTCGATGAAAAGTGTCTTGACAAGTTCAGCAGAAAGAAACCAAGAACTCGATAGGAAATCCGCTTGAACAATTCTATCCACAGTGATATTATAAGCAGGATCAGGCAAATAAAGCCCTGCCTCCTTGGATCGAAACTTCCTATAGCTCGGAAAAATGAAATCTTTCTGTCTAAAAGGCAAAATCCTACCAATACTTCCCAAAACAGAATTCATATACTTGTCTGTTCCTGCAACATGTGCTAAAATCTGCAACATCTTCTTCCCTGGGATCATGTCATCGTCTACGATATACACAAGATCAGCTTCTGTTTGCAAAGCCATTTGAAACCTTCCATAGTACTTAAAATCATAAGATGAACTTATAAAACTTATACGCGAGTCATTGTAACTATCTACAATCCTCTTGAGTGATTCCTCATTAGGACTTCCAAACGCGACAACCCAAACATGATGAAATTGAAGTGTTTGTCCAAGTAAAGAATCAATCTGAGAACACAGTGTTTTCCTCTTGAAATGATTCAATATCACAGTGATTTTCGGCTTGTTTGGACCGCGTAAATCCCATTTAGACTTCATTAACATCAACTCAGAAAGTGTCTCAGTACCACCAAGATTCTTGTTCTGAAAATCCCTCAATTCTTGATACAACTCTGTCTTCAACTTAATCATAAGTGCATCATTAGACTTCTTTTGTTCAAAATCAATCTTCT